AAATGTTTTCCTTATTTTTGAGGAAAATATGATTACATGATCAAAAGTTAAAAAAATATATTCCATGAAAAAAATTATCAATCAAATACCAAAAACCTAAAAATTTGAGTGGTAAAATAACATTTGTCATGAAAAATAATATCAATCAAACACCGTCTTAATAGAGCTAAACTTCTCTTACAATCATGTTCACGTGATAGATAAGTGTCAAATGTTAAACAGAAATAGCTTATCTAAATCCAACACAACTTCCACACTTGATTATAATCCAAGACTGCAATTCAAAATCTACGCAACAAGTATACAATATTTTGCTGTCAACTCTACGAGATACATACATACATACATACATACATATATATATATATATATATATAGAGAGAGAGAGAGAGAGGCATGGAACTTGACAGAAAAACCACTTAATTATTAGTAAATATAATGGTATACAATCCAAAATAATACAAACCAGATATAATAAATCTTGGGTGGAAAATAAAAGAATGTGACCTTGAGCTAAGGTCATTAACTTAAAAAGTACTAGAAATATATGATCCTAAATAAAATGCGTAGGTGCTGATTTAGTACTTGAGAATAAACTTATCTAGGTAAAAGTATAGTTTTCTCCATAGCCAAATTCTACTCTTCATTTCCTCAAGCTAGGCAGCTTTTCCCTAGCTAGTCGTGGGATTTCTTGTTTGATAAGTTAAAGGGGGCGTGTGCGTCGGCCACTTGCCCGGCCACAGAGAAGTGCATTCTTTGGGATGGGGTACTCATCCCTCAATGAAGTTGAGGCAGTATACACCCTCATATAGAGCTGTTGTCCGAGGTATTGTCGAGCCCAAAACTCCGATCTTAGGTTCCACATTCCCACATTGTCAAGCGCGACATAAATGGCAGTCCACGACTTGGGATACACCTGCAAGTACCAACCATAGGAAACTTTTCAGGTTTAGTTACGATCAGGCAATTTCTTTTCGGTGAATGTTTGGTACGAGTATTCGATAATAACATATACATGATTTAAGCTTCTTTTTGTTCTTTTAACTTTGTGTAGTATGATATGGTCCCCTTTATCAGACAAGCCATGACAGTATATTGCTAGGAAATTATGAGATTCAAGCAATTTCCATCTCACCTGAGTAGTGCAACGAGACACTGCATCACGAAGATTGTACCCGTTCCTACTAGCGGTAGTCCATTGCCCTCCGTCCATTCTGGATTTGAGATAAAGCAATTTCTAAGTATTATGCTTAGAAGAAATGAAAGATAACTACTCAAATTATACAAAAATTGATATCATACAGGTTTATTTTCTGGTGCTTACCCGACTACAAAGAAGGAGTAGCCATTGAGGTGATAGCTCTGAATAATGTCCTCGTTGTTTTCGAAAACAATTTCAATAAATGCCCTGTAATCAACTCCCAGTACGGACGTGTCAAGGTATATTCCTCCACCAGTGGGAGCATCAGAAATACTCCCAACACGAAAAACTCCATCAATTTTGAAGTAGTCGGCAATCTTCAGGGGAGTGTCAGCTGGCACAAAGGATACACTGTTGATCGCATATCTCTGTTTACCGTTGACTTGACCTGCAGAACCCGAAAGCCTAATAGTTTTTGTAGTGTTTATCATGCCATAGTGGTATGAACCTTGAGGATTTGGTCTCGGTCCACTTGCGGTAAGATTAGTCCTAATACACAACCAATTTAAATATAAGAATCATTTACTAGTCGAAAAGGGATTAGAGTACTGAAGCCAGTGTAATGAATATTACCTAATCGAACGAGCCTGGTTTAGCGACCAATCAACTTGAATTGTTGGTCCACCGGGTGGTGAGCCAGAGACCTGAGTATTTGAATTCGCATAATGAAGAACACCAGTCGTGGTGAGTATTGTACTGGTGAAACGGGAGGAGACAACAATATAGTAGTCCTTAGGAGCCTGATCTGCCGTTATAAGCACAGAATAAGATTGACCAACGTGAACATCAAGGGACGAGTAGGTAGTTTGGAGAGTATGCGTTCCTTCAACTTCAACCAATGTCATCTTGTGTCCTTCAATTCGGAAGTTGAGTGAATTTTGTAATCCAACATTTGATATCCTAAGCCGGTATGTCTTTCCTGTTATATATAGCATTAACATTGATCAGATACAACAAGTTTGATAAAAATGGAGCGGATTGATCGTCTTTTAGCAATGGTTAGTTGCTTATCGAAATGCACGGTTTTATAGATGACAAACCTTGTTCAACGGTGAAAGAGACGCCATTGGGACCACGTCCGTTAATAAGAATTCCATCTGGGAAAGGTAGCTTCCTGCCCCTGTTGAGAATTGCCTTCAAGTCCTATATAGATGACGATCAAAGCACACATTAGCTAATAACATCAGTTTCGAAAAGCAAAAATTTACTAACAATTCATAAACTTGCTTATTTCAAAATTTGACCAAGAAAGCAAATAGTTAAAATAAAAGTTTTCACTTGTAAGTATATAGTTTAAGCTTAACCAAACATGCCCAGTTTTCCATGCTAAAATTGACACATTTTTTATTTAATTTTTGCTTGCCTTGTACCTATGTTGTATGTTAGGTAAAATTTTAAAATCAAATCAACAATTAATTTTAATCACATATTTTATGATATTCGTAAATTTTATTAACTTTTAATAAAACCCATTATATTTTTTATTGAAAACTTTGTCAAACAAGCTCATAAACTAGACAAGACAGAACTACTTGAATCAATCGGATGTACTTTATTAGATGTGGAAATTACATAAACTAAGAGTTTTCAAGATCTCAATTCATATTTAAGAGTTATAAGTTTTCTTTCGAAAATTAGATATAATTAAAATTGTAAATATTAATAATAATATCATAAAAATTATTTTAAATATCTACCATACTATCATCTACCCCCATCAAACTCTAATTACTTTTCAATCTCTTCTCTCTCTCTCTCTCTCTCTATACATCCAGAGCTGCCCCCATCCTAATCATTTTCATTCTATATATTATATCTCCTCTCTCTCTCTCTCTCTCTCTCTCTCCCTGTCGCAATCGAAAGTTGTCGCTGGGAGCGCTGCCGATGACGCAACACATCCCACCTTCTATCCTTATCTATTTATCGCAAGCTAAAGCCATCGCCGAGAGCATTGCCAATGATACCACGGCGCCGCTACGCAACATCGCCGCTACAACAGCGATAGTTGTGTTGTAATGCAACACCACGCAACGACCGTTGTGCACTGCCCATGGCAATGATGCTGTTGCAGGATCTGGTGCACCGATGCCACTATGCGACCCATTGCATTGCGTTGTGCGATCTGGTGATGCCGAAGTTTTAGGGTGGGTTTTGTTGGTTGTATTTGCAGTTCTTGGTGGTGGTGTTGATGTTGACGGCGCTCGTAAGGTGGTGGTGTTGGGGGTGGCGACGATGGTGTTTGGCATTGGCATTGGTATTGGTGATGGAGGTGACAGTAGCAGTGGCGATGGTGTTGGTGGTGGTGTTGGCGTGGTTGTGGTGGAGTGGGAAGGAAAAAATTTTGATCTGTGCCCCAAAAATAATTAGTGACCTAAAAAAAATTTTAACTGTGACTCAGAAATAATTTGTGAGCAATTAATACAATAATTGTGACCAAATTTTATATCAGAGTGACCTTAATATACTTAATTAATAAAATATATTTTTAATTGATTATTTCATAAATAAAATGTAATTAATATCAGATTTTTAAAATTTAAATTTTTGATTGTTAGTTTTGAAATAGGTAATTTTCACAAAGCTCAAATCTTTCTGGGCCCCTAAAGAAGTAGGATCACAAGACATCCAGCTGTGAATGGCCCACTTTTAAAAAGTGGTCATAGGTCTAAGTTACCGACACTGAATATTAAAGCCTATGGCCCAACTTTGGCAGCAGCCTCCACACCACTTTACTGGCACAACAAAGAGCCGTCAGCCGTGGCATCACATTAATCAAAATTTATATTTTTTAAGAGCCTATTTGGTACAGATTTTTATTTTTTANAGTTTGAAGCTTTTTAACAATTCTAGAATAAAAATATATACGTCCTGTTTGGTACAGATTTTTATTTTTTACAGTAAATCAATTCTCATTTTCAACCACGCATTCTTCAATAAAATAATATTTTTCATCACATCAATACTTTTTTCTTTTTTTTCAACACACATTTTCCATCATATCACTATTCAAAAATCAATTCTTCCCCAAAAAATCCCTACCAAACACACTCTAAATTGTAAGATAAGAATTCAATTTCCTAATATGCCTAAAACAAGTAATCATAAATCATTTCAAACGTGTTCGAATAATTTAAAAACAATTACTTATTATTTCTATAATTTTATTGTTAGTTATTGATTCTAAAAAAAAAAAAAATTTAATGATTTGCCAAACGTGCTCAATAAATTCAATTTTGGGCCAATCGGAGAGGTTGGCTGCAAGCAGGAGTCAAGGAATTGGGAAGAGATAATTACCGTGTGATTTTTCTTGTACCAATCTCCGATCAAGATAGTGTGATCGCCGGCAGGATCTGAGAAGGGAACCGGAATTCTGGGTCTGCTGAGGATTCTGATGCCTCCAAAACCACCAGCGGCCTTGTGGAATGCGAGCGATGGGAAATAGTAAAAGCTTCCGATCTGATCCTTCACCTGTAGAATATATGTGAAATTTTTCCCTGGAGGAATTGGACACGTAGTTCCATATACTCCATCCTCAAATGAATTCCTCCTGTTTTGGATTCCATTCCTGCATTTTTCACATCCAAAAAACATTAGGAATTATCAGTTCTAGTCACCCCCATAATCATACTTCTGTTTCATCAACGAGATTCATTGAGGAATCCATTACCACTTATTTTCACATTTAGAGCTTGTTTGGTAGAGATTAAAATCGGATTAAAATTGAAAATTAGCCATTATTGTTGACTTTTATTAGACAAGTGGGACCAATAACGGTTATATTTTCAATTTTGATTGGATTAAAATTCCTCCCAAACAAGCTCTTACTAAAATATGAAGAATTTTGAATAAGGAAGGTGACATTTAAATGTTAGAAGATAGAGGTTCACCGGGAGGAGAATCATCGAATGTCCGATCCAAATGTTTATAAGCTGTGACCGCATTTGAATTAATCCGGATGACAAATCAGGGAGGAAGATCGCCACTCCTCAGGATTCGTCCGACTAATCCTGATGAGTGGCAGTCTTCCTCCCTGATTCGTCATCCAGGTTAATCCAAATGCAATCATAGCTTTTAAACATTTGGATCGGGCATTCGATGATTCTCTTCCCCGTGGACCTGTGTCTTCTAACATTTAAATGTTGTCTTCCAATTGCCGCGAAAAGTCTTTCTTTTTTTTTTTTTTTTAACTATTTTTTTAAGCTAAGCCAGATGTGCATGCCAGCTTTATGCCGCCGCACCGCCAAAAGTTACTGGGAGCAGAGGCCCAAGCACTGAATTCAGCACTCGTATTTCACGTGCATGCGATGCTAATTCGTGTCTTCCTTAAATTTATTTTGATAAATAATTTTATCAACTAAAGAGGAAAAATACAAAGTC